AAAAAGCCCTTGATGGGCTGGGGTTTTGGCTCAGCAGTAGAATGTTCGCCTAGCACGTGCGAGGCCCTGGGTTCAATCCTCAGCACCACATATAAATAAATAGGTAAAAGTGTTATGTCCAATGACAACTAAAAAAAATAAATATTAAAAATAAATAAGTAAGAAAAAAGCTCTTGGGCATGGGGGAGTTGTTTCTCTGACAAGTTCTGGGAGTAGTCACCTTCTGGGAGCAAGCCTTCCGCAGTGTGTCTGAGGTGGGGCTGGTTTTGTGCTTCCTGATGCTTCAGGAGCTGTCATGTGGGCGGAGCAGCCACTGCTGCAGGAGGGAAGTGGTCACCTCCTGGGCTCCCTTCCTGCACCAGGAGGGGCAGGGCGCCCCCAGGTGTCAGGTGCCCCTAACCCGAAGCCCTCCCCTCCCCCCAGGTCTGGAGTTCGCCTACTCGGCTGCCCCCAGGTCCATGCAGAGTGCCATCATGGGCCTCTTCTTCTTCTTCTCTGGCGTCGGGTCCTTCGTGGGCTCAGGGCTATTGGCCCTGGTGTCCCTCAAAGCCATCGGATGGATGAGCAGCCACACCGACTTCGGTAAGAGCCAGCCCCTGTGGTGTGGGGAGTCCCTGCAGCCTGGCTACCTGTGGGTGAGCCGGGTGGTCTGCATGTGGGAGGGTGGGCGGGCAATGTTTCTCAGGACACAGGGGCCCACTTGCCCTCAGGAGCCTCTCCTCACTCGAGGCCTGCAGCCACCCAGCCACACCCTGCTGAGCTGCTGCTGCTGGGAGAGTCCTTGACCGAGGGTCCCTGTTGTCTGTAACTGCTTCTGGGGGAAGTGAAATCCGTGTCACAAGTTCTCGTTATTTAACTTGATCTTATGTACTTTTTTTCCTTTTCTTGACAAATACTTTTGTTTTCTGATACTAAAAAGACGAGGGTAGTTAAGTTGCTTTTTGTTTCTTAATAAACACATTATTCATGATCAATCATAATAGGATTTTGCAATTAATGCCAGTAGGTGGCATCTTGGGTTTTGAACAAAATCACTCAAAAGTCAGAGTTTGGCTTTCCCTAGATTCATAATAGATGTGGGGGTGAAGACTCCCTCTTCTCCTGTGTTTTCAGTGTGCTGTCTGCACCCAGCCTCCTGCCTTCCCTCCTGCTTGAGTGCTTGCTCTGTTTCAGTGGTGCTAGCCACTGTGGTTTATTCGTCCCCTGGAAATCGATGGCAGTTCAGGGACTTTTCTTTGTTAGTTGCAGAGCCCCAGAGCCCTCCAGAGGTGGAGCTGAAACTCCTTCCTGTGAGGTCCTGGCGAAGTGTCCAGAAGTCCAAGTTGCCGTCGTCTCAGTGGTCACAGATGCTGACTGTCCAGTGCTATGCATTGGTTCTGAGAGTAGTGGGCAGACCTGGGGCTTTTCTCTCCCTCTCAGTTCCTGGAGTGTGAGCAGCCCTT